AAAAGTGTGGACTTGTTTTGTACAATCGACAAAGGTCCCTCCATGTCCCTTTTCTTGCTGGTTCTCAGCAGGGAATGAGGGAACGCCTACAAACAATCCATATGGTTCATTCCCAAAACCCGGAGGTCATTCCCTACTTATCGCACCCGCTGTCGCAGGGTGACCGCCATCAGCCCGGGGATGGTGGAGCCATGGCCGGCAATTCTCCGATGAGCACGGAGAAATCCCCACTTGAAAGGGATGCCCGGTAGCCTTGTAAAGACTTGTCAATGGGCGATGGCAGGGATCGCATTGACTTTGAGAGCCCGGGTGATAGAACCATCGCATTGTGATGCGTCTCTGAATCTTGATTCGGATACAACAGATACACTGCGTGTTTTATGCTGTGATGTTTACGTGAGTATCAAGATGGTCAGCCCGTCTGCAGCGTGCCAAGGAGACCGAGTTTTCCAAGGTGCGCTTTGGCGATGATGGCAAGGCGGCCAAGGCATGGCAGGTTCGACTTTCCGCCGGGAGATGGTCGTCCTCTTTTTCGCTTCTGGTTCGAAAGACTGGGAGTGTCCTGTCTTGATTGTTATCGGGCTTGGTTTTTTTGGACTTTAATTGCTTGGGAAATCGGCATTTTCCATGGAGCCCGCAAAAAGTTGAACGTTTTGCAGAGGGGTCAACAGCAACCAAGCTTTTTTGGGAGTGATGCCTAACATGTCTCAACATCAGGGCCCCTGAGGTTGAAACACACCCGAGCCCTCCAGGTCTATGAGAACATCGTCCCATTGGTGGCGGAAGACATTGCCGACCAGATCATTTATGCGACAACGCGGCCTAGGATGGGGGGCATTATTGTGATCTCAAGAAGCCCACTACAGGACAGCCTACAGGAAATCCTTGTTTTGGGTTGAAATTTTGCCAACCTGTCCATGGATGTTCCTGCAGCTAGTTTCTATGTTTTGACCGTTTCTTGAGTCAGACAAGGGGGTGGTTTGCCTTTAGACTACGACTTAGGCGCTAGCTTTGATGAAGGTAAAAAAGGCCAGTCAGATTTGACTCGTTGTCGTTGAAGTTGCACAAGTCATCCAATGATTGACATTCTTGGATGGGCCGCAGGGTGACAGGCCTTTTGGGATGCAATCTGAAACAGGCATGTGCAGATTGCGGACATCATCTCCTACGCTACAAACCAGGCATGCTGATTGGTTTCGCCACAGTTTCGCATGGCAAGAACCACTGCTGTAGCATACAAACAGACACCTGGCTGGGCCTCGTAGACCCGCTGTTTGTTGATGCAGGTGAGGCAGGTCTTTGATCTGTTGGTCCGAACGTATTTCACCAGGATGCATGTGACCGCGCTTCTTCCAGAAAAAATATCATTGCCAGGGGCACGCGAAGTATGTCGTTGAGCGCAAAGGCGGGTCTCCAAGCTGTCGATGACAGGTTGACGTTGGAATAGAGGGCCCCCCCAAATGCAAGGAGGGATAAGGAGGGTTACTTTGCACGACAAAGTTTTCATAGTGACAAGGAATGATGGGTTGCTTCACTTTGGCTTCTCAGAAAGGCCTTTAGCTCACTTCCCGAGTTCCGTTTCATAGTTTTCGTCACTTTTTGGGTTTGGACCGTTTTAGTGACAAACCGAACGTTTGTCGACTTGTTTTGGCCCATCAAACTCGCTCGGAGGTGTTGTTCAAGCCATCCAGGGGTCCCGTCTTGAGAAGCCAAAGCTGCCAGGGGCGGGCATGGGAGCGCCGGAAGGCGATCGCCGGGATGGGGTGACGGACTTGCGATCAGCCGCGTGGTACTGTTGATCGGGGCTTTGGCTTTTTGGGAGTTGGTACCCCTTTTTGTGGGCTTGAAGGGAAACCGGAAGGACAACCAGCATTTTTTTGTGGGGTCGTCTAAACAACTACACCCATGTAGGTTGGCATCCATGTGCACCAACTCTTGAGCCAAAGCTTATGAGATCACAGTTTCTTTGGGTGTTGCCATGTGACGCATTTGTAGGTCGGTGGACTTGGGTGAATACCAAAGGCCTGTGTTTGTGTCCCTGTTTTGAGTCGTCAGGGTGAGGTTTGCAGTTTGCAGGGAACCCAAAAGAAAACACCGATTTGGGGCCCTTCGATCACTCTCGCCAGGTGCAGGATACCAGAGCTGAGTTCCGGCCAAGTTAGGTCTTGCGGGTTGCACCGGGCACTTGGCCCGGTCTGCCCAAAAAAAACACCTTTTGCGCACGCCTTGCTATTTATCGCCCTGTCATAGGGCTTGATTTATCCCAACTCGTGCCGGAGTTTGTCCAAAAGTGCCGTTTGCGCGATGCCGTTTGCGGGATGGTAGCCGGCTCAAGGGCTCGCTGGAGTTCGGTCCAACGAGGCAACTTGCCCTCTGAAGGGCACTCTTGGAAGGCACTTTTCAAGGGATCCACAGCATCCAAAACAGGGCGTTTGTTTTTTCCTTTTTTGTTTTCTTTTTCGGGAATCGATTTCACTACATCCAAAACAAGGCTTCCATATGCTCTTTCCTTTTTTTTCTTTTCGGGAATCGATTTCAACATAGGTTTATATTTTGGTTTCAGGGGACAAAAACGCAAATCGAGGTACCGCTCGGTATCTTCGCAGCTCACAGCGCTCAGCTTGGAGCTCAGCTTTTACGGAACTGCTTCTGAGGCCTGGCTTCCCACGCTGCTGTTCTGCGCTCAGTCTGTGCTGGGAATGGCAAGATACAAGATGTGGGGCTGTCTCTTTTTGAGGTCACTCAATTTGGGGTTTAAAGGAAAATCAAAGGAAAACTGAAGCCCAGTTGGGAGGTCCCCCCAAAAAAACCAACCCATTTGGTACCTGCTTCCACAGCTGGCAGCTGAAGCAAGGACGACCTGCCCTCGTCAAGCAGTTGCGCATCACCGTATGCAAGCGCCTGAGTCGTGCGGTCGGCATAAATGACCTCGACTTTGGGATTGACGGGGGGACTTCTGCAACTTTCTGAGCCCATGTGGCCATGGGTAAACATCCAAATCGTACCCCCAGTGAACATCCCAATCCCCACTAACATAGACTAACATGGGTGGTGCACCTACCCCAAAATGGTACCATTGGTTTTGACCCACAGCCATGTGTCCTCCTCTGGTGTCCAGGTGTCATGGAGCACAGCCTTGGGAGTTCCGCAGCCAGAATTCAAGGCCGGGTCTTGATGCACAGCTCTCGCGCCCGGAGCAGCCCCCAGCAATCGGGACCCGAGGCCCCAGTTGGAGCGGCCGTCCAGTCCTTGCTTGAGCTCGAGCGGGGGCCTCGGTACACGCTTCAAGACTTCACTTCGCCTCAAGACTTCAGGGAGACAAGGTTGAAAGGGAAGTCACAAGGAGCAGGAGCACGTGTTTGGTGCTCCACCATTTGACGGGCACACGCACCAGACCCGCAAAGTGTGATCCTGTCGTGGCCCGTCCTTCGAAGGAAGTCCTTGCGTGCTGGCAACAATGTCACAGACCTCAGGCCCATGCTGGAGCGACATTTGCTGGGCAAGGCTCGGAGCCACGACACGTCGAAAAAACGACAAGAAAGAAGACGATGGGACACATGAGGGTTTGGCCCCTATTTGGGTGTACCGCCAAATCAGTGGTTTCCAGATTGTTTTCCTTTTTTGCAACCTAAAGGAACTGGGTTGCTACGATAGGATATTGTTGCTCGCGGACTGCCCATTAAGGCAAATCCCAAATCTCAGTTGGTGCAAGAAGCTTGTGGACCTGAACTCGCTTGTCCAAATCCAACTTTTTGACCTTCTGGTTTTATTGTACTGGTCCAGCTTTAGTCATTGTCCAGGTCCAAGCCAAGCGATGGGTGGTTCACATTTCGCTCTGCAGGGCACCGCACTGGCACGCGCCCGGAGCCCGAACGGATGGATGGAATGTACAGTTTGCCGAACATTTGGTGACTTTTCGCAGTCATTCATAATCGTCTCCTTCACTGTTGTTGGCAAGCTTTTTGTTTGTGTTTGTTTGTGTTTTGCTTCTTTCTGTTCATGTTTAGCAGGGGCTGGAAAAAGCCAAAGTGCCTTCTACCATACCAATGGTTGTAAAGTCTCATTGCTAAGCTTCGAGAGACATGCCGTAAAGTAGGTGAGTGTGTGGAGCAGCTGTTTTCCTCGTTCGTTTGGCATCCAGCTCACTTGTTGAATCCGTTTGCCACCACAGCCAGACGGGGTTGTGTCAGACGAAGGTTTTTTGATTTTAACCAGAATGATTTGGGGGTGTCTTTTTTTGAGGGTACCCTATTTGGTTGGTTTTAAAGGGAAGCCAACAGGAAACCAAACATTTTTTTGGGGGGGGTCCCCTAAAGGAAGTTGAGCCTCCCGTTTGATATTTTGCTTTGCCCAAATGTGCAAAAGGCGACTGGTTCCATGCGCTTGGGTTGCAGGCATCTCCTTTGCACGACCGTGTGAGAAAGATGACGGAGGCGTTCGACCCGAGCCCCGAACGCACGTCGCAAGACATGCGTTTGAGAGGTACCTTGTGTGGTCTAAGGGTCAGCTGTTGGGGTTGGACCATAGGATGGGAACTCCCCAAAAGTCCAACAACGTCTTCAACTTGGGATACAGCTGAAAAGTGTCCAACTGGCTTCCGAAAGAAACACATTTATTGCCGCGCAGGAGTGCTGCAAAGAGCAGTTCGGCACGCAGCCGCAAGCTAAGATGTCCATTTATCGATTCGTTGGCCAAAGGAGATCTTTCGTGGAGCATGTGCTATCCTATGGTTTCCTTTTTTCGGGAATCCCCGAAACGGTTCATTCCCAACACCCGGACTCGTTGTCATTCCCTACCTCCTGAGCACCAGCAAGAGGAGAAGACTTCCTGCGCTTACTTCCCCAAAGGTGGAAACAGAAGGTTCTGCTGGGGCCATGACTAAAGATGGACCAAACTAGAAAGCCAAAAGGTGAAAGGTCGGATGCCCTCCAGGCTTTCGGAGATCATACAGTACCAGCCCCAGGGGTCGAAGACGGTCGCTCGGTTGTTCGACGGGAAATTGGGAAGTCCTTTTGGGGGATTCCCTAAAAACACACACACACCCATATGATATGGACGTTTGGCACTTCGACCTGGGGTACTTGGGAAATACTGGTGTGAGCTGAGGCAAAGTTTGATGCTTGGACCGGGAGATCTGTTGGTGTTTCAAGTTGAACGTCTGACCTGCGAATCAGGTGGCTCTGCACAGAACACATGCGTCCGGCTACTGATGTCAGCATTGATTGGTTTATTTCCATGGTTGCAGCATGTAGAACAGTTTTGTGGCGACCACTGCTACATGATCAGCAGCGGAATAGCTTCAGCCAAAAACAGGCATGTTTTTCTTGCAGGGAGATTTCAAAAGTGTGGTTGTCCTTCCTTTAGGTTTCCCCTGAAAACCACCCCTCAAAATAGGGATTCCCCCCCCGCCCCCCCCCCCCCCCCACCAAGACCAGGCGCACTTGGGTGGCTGGGTTCACCAGCTTGTGAGCATTTGGGCAGCTCAAAGGTAGTGCCCTGGAACCCCCCTAAGGCACATGGCCTGGTGGCACTATGTATGAGGGTCCAGTGTTGTTGGGGTCATGAGGAAGCTGCTGGTGTGGAAACCGGCAACTCGTTTTGTGAGGTCCGCCAGAGGCCTGCGGCAGCGCTTGCAGCGACTTCTCTCGGCAGAGAGCCGCTGGGCAAGAGGTAGAGTGTGAGCCGTTTATGGTGAGGTGGCTGTGGGTCAAAACCAATGGTACCATTTTTGGGTAGGTGCACCACCCATTTTAGTCTATTCTAATGGGGATTGGGATGTTCACTGGGTGTACGGGATTTTGACCCATAGCCAGTAGACAGCGCAATTCCAACCCGTTTAGGTTTGGTCGGCTCACTTCGCCTAACAGGTTCCCTCCACGACCGTTTGGCAGTTCACATGTATGAAGCTCAGTGGATATCGAACATGCAGCGTTTGCCGAGATGGCCGGGGCAGTGTTCTTGCTCGGTCCTTTCGAATTAGCGTTTGCCGTCCTGACCCTTGTAGACCCATTCTACAGCAGATGCGCGTAGGGTCACATCTTCCTCGCTGCTGTATCTTTGCTGTCTTCCTCAGTCGGAGCCGCCCTTCATTCTGAAGGTTGTGAACAAGTTCCTATTTGTTTCCATGCTTGTCTGGCTGGTTCTAGTCTGTGGCTTGATTGGCTCCTTGTATCTTCTGTGGCTTCTCCTAACAGACCTCTGTTTACCTTCCATGCTGTCGATTGCAATCCTGGGCGCGAGGCATGGCAAAATTTCGCTGTGTTGGCGAGTCCTACAGATCCTTTTCAGCAGAGATGCCTATGTGCGGAATGCTCTGAAGAGCTTTGTGTCCAACTAGTCTCCGATTCTGCTGCGGAGCTGTCACAAACTGCCTGCAGCGACTCCTGTGGCCACTTTAAGTTTCCAGCTGCCATGCTGCCCAGCCAGAGTCAAACTGCACACCAGCCAAACCAAATGGTGCTCCGGCGTGCTCGATTCTTAAGAACACACAACATTGACTTCAGTTGATGAAGAATAACATGATAACACATTATGCCATAGAGGTTTGAAGCAGTACGAACCAAACCACTTAGCCTTCCATGCTGTTCTCGTTGCTCGGTACAGGCTCCATCAGGGGATCCAGTCTTAAGCAGTGAGTCTTTCCAGACCCAGGCCGGTACTCCGATGATCGCTTGCCTCAGATGGAGGCGCCAAGCTTTGCGAAGTATGAGAGATGAGTATTGAGCAACTGACGAAATTGCTGGTAGTCATTTGTTTGTTTGGGAAGGATGAGAACGGGGACCTACCTAAGTTTTTCGCAAACACCAGGGGGGGCATGTCCTCTTCATAAGCAAATAGTTTTCTCCGGAGCGCGTCCTGCTTCATGCAGATCAGTTTTGCCTAATGGTTCAAGGGTGCAAGCGCATTTGATGTCAATGTCAACTCGCATGTCATCCACCTCGGTTGTCAAAAGTACGGCCCCTTCGGGACCTAGGCGGCCTGCCGACATGAACCCACACCTTTCAAGCATTAACCCAGGTACGGGCCTTGAAGGTATGGATATTATGCCACCAATATAATTGCTTGTCTGGCAGTACATACCCTTTATATAAGTGATATAAAGCCTCTGCACCTCCAAAACCCATTCCCGAAAATGCCCTTGAACCTTGCTCCCAGCAATCTGGGCGCACAGAGAACATATTAGATAGAGAGGGCCAACACGCTGGTCATTGCGTCATACTCGCACATTGACAGCGCCCTGCAAACCATCAACTATCGCGCACTGGCGAAGTTACCGACCCAAACAAAAGCAACATGAGATAGCTCGAGGCGGATTCAATGTTCTTAAAGATCGCCCAGCTTCCGAGGTCTTAACGTAACCGCATGCAGAACTATTCAGTTACACCAAGGTTTCGGGCTTCCAAGATATGGCCATGGGGCATAACCTATGGCTCCATTTGTGGATGAACATTTGTCTGCCACCTATTTGATGTTCACCAAACTTACAGGGCTTCGACCCACAGCCATATTCCTTCCATGTATGGACCCGTAAACTTTTTTTTGAACTGTTGGTGCTGTGGCCATATTTGGCGGTGAAAGAGCAACGGTCGACCATGTCTAGGCGGCCAACCATACTTGTCTAAGATCAATTCAAATATTGGGACTGCTCAGATTAACGGGGTGTGGCTCACAGGGAGAGGATTCTAACTGTGAAGACGTTCACCCCTGACAAGAATATTGACCAGCAAGCCCAGCTCCCCAAAAGAAATACAGACGCACACAAGCTGCAAAGAGGGGACAACAAAGGCGGACCGAATTCTGCCAAACCAAACTGCAATGTGCAGATTTTGCAAAACAGCAAACATCCACAGAAGTTAAAAACATCAACAAACAATACAATCATTACACACATTACACACATCACACACACACACACTACACTACACATTACAGACATTTCACACATTACAAGCATTACACATTGCAAATATTGCAGACACGACACAGCAACCATCACAAACACTACATACATTCCAAACATTCAACACATTGCAGGGATTGCACGCATTACGCACATTACACACATTGCAGCATTGACAAGCATTACAAGCACTGCACACATCAACAAACATCAGCAAACGTCGGCAAACGTCAAGCATTGCAAGCATCAACAAACATCCACACACATTACAAGCATTACACACATTACACACATTACAAACATTACACACATCAACACACATCAACACACACACATTGCAAGTATTACCTACGTTACACACATTACACGCATTCCACATAGCAGACATTACACACATTACAGACATTACACACATGACACACACAGACACATTACAAGCCTTAAACATTGCATCGACCAACATTGCAAGCATTACACACACAATACAAACATTATAAACATCAACACACATTGCAAGTATTACCTACAGTACACACATTACTTGCATTACACATAGCAGACATCACACACATAACAGACATTACAAACATGACACATACACACAATACAAACATTAAACATTGCATCGACAAACATTACAAACAATACACACATTGCACACATTGCACACATCACCAAACATCAGCAAACATTGCAAACATCAACGGACATTGCAAACTTCAAAGACGTTGCAGGCATTGCACACATTACGCGCATTGCACACATTGCCATCGTCAACACACATTACAAACATCACACACACACACGAACCATAATCATCACACGTCACAAGCATGACACACATTGCAAACATCACACACATAGAAACATTACAACCACTGCACACACAACACAAACACACATTAAAAGCATTGCAGGGATCACACACAGTACCGGCATCACAAACTTTGCGAACATCGACAAACATGTCACACATTTCGGGCATTACAAACATCAACAAACATCAGCAAACATCAGACATATTACAAACATCAAAAAACATCTGCAAAAAAGTACAAACACCAACACGCTTTGCAAGCATTACAGACATTACAGACACCACACGCACTCATTGCAGACATTAAGGAATTTGAGTACATACATTAAGCACATTACACAGATTACGCACAGTACGCACATTACACAGATTACGCACAGTACGCACATTACACACATTACACATATTAGACACATGACACACATTAGACTCATTACACATCACACACACACATATATCACACACACACACAAATTGCACACATCCACAACAAACTCACATGACACACATTACGCACATCCGCAAATTATGCACATTACTTACATTGCCAACATCCACAAATAGTACAGATTACACACGTTACAAACATTACACACACACTACACACATTGCGCACACTAAACCATTACATACATTAGGTACACTACACACAGTACCACATCCACAACATTACACAGATCCACAATCATCCACAAACACTACACACATTTCACGCATCCACAAGCATTGCGAGCATAGGTGTCCTTTTTGTTTGTTTGGTAGAAAAATAGATGGCGATTCCTGGTTTACCTGGTGGTTTCATCATCCAGGGAAATCCATTTCCCGAAAAAGGACACCTAGGATTTCTGCGCATGTCTGGCAAAAGGCAGGAGGCACCCCAGAAGTGTCACAGGTTCCCAGCTGCTGGTGTCACGCCCGGCTCACGTCGCGGCGCCGGGCGGCCGAGCGGCCGAGGGGCCGAGGGACGTGAAACGCTTCCTGGGCGTTTTTGGCGGCGGGATGGGACACACAGCCACCGTTTTTATGGGGCTTTGGTGCATGTTGCTTGGATGTTAGGACTTTAACTTCTTGCCAACCAATGGGTTTTCCATTAATCCACTAAAAGTTAAACGTTTAGCAGGGGAGCAGAAAGCAACCGAGGGGGGATTCCCTGTTTGAAGATAGCAAGATTGAAGCAAAGCCAAACCATCGGATGGAGCAAACTCCGACATGGCATAGCTTAGTAACCAGACGTAAGTCGTGGGAAGGTTTAATTTGCCATGGAGTTGATGCGAGCGCCTTGCAGCGAGACGCTCTGTTTGAATTCAGGACCCATAGTGAGCATAGGCAGGCAGGCAGGCAGGCAGGCAGGCAGGCAGGCAGGCAGGCAGGCAGGCAGGCAGGCAGGCAGGCAGGCAGGCAGCAGGCAGGCAGGCAGGCAGGCAGGCAGGCAGGCAGGCAGGCAGGCAGGCAGGCAGGCAGGCAGGCAGGCAGGCAGGCAGGCAGGCAGGCAGGCAGGCAGGCAGGCATACATGCGCATCATGCGCATCATGCGCATCATGCGCATCATGCGCATCATGCGCATCATGCGCATCATGCGCATCATGCGCATCATGTGCATCATGCACACATTCACGCTTGGCGTGTGCACAAAATGGGTGTACTGGAACTAGTGGCATGTCTAAGATCGGGAGAATTCATCAGAAAAGTTGGTCGACAGTCAGGTCTGCTACTTCGCGATGGGGCCACACCAGCCGACTTCGAGATTTGCGCATCTGGCTGGTCTGCAGCTGAGCATGAACTAGCCCCACACATGGCCATATTACGGTCCAAGTTTTACCGTTGACAAAGATGCAGGCACGTTCTGAGCCAGTCCAAGACATACATATTTACTACATTTACTTTCCGCAACCATAATTGTTCTGACATAGCATTCCCACCCGCTTAGAAACGGAATTGGGGGGGATTCCTGGAATTCCAGTTATGGTTCCATTTTCCCGAAGCCGGCGTCGTCCGAGTTCTTTCCCGCAGGTCCGGTCTTTGCTCTGGGACGATCTACTCAGACCTGGCGCGTTTGCTGACAGACCTCACCTTCGAGGCTGATAATGGGCTCACAACAAGAATTTCGAGGGGCATGAACCTCCATTCGTAATACACCCCATGCATTTTGGTGAAACTGCAGACACTTGCTTGCAGCCATGGACGACCGGCTGCAAATTAAGCCTCTTTTCATGGGGATCAGTGGAGGTTGTGGGCGTTTGGTCAGTCCGGGGGGTTGTTTGGCACGGCGGACATCGGCGGACCGTCTGTCACTTCGTCTCCCATGCAAACTTTCTCTGTTCTCCGATGCCCCTGTTTTATTCGGTTGCGAGAATTGAGTACCGACTGGTCATGAACAGGGGCTGTTTGAGTTTTGAACATATTCCCCGGTGACGGCGTTTTAGCCAAGCAATGAACCGTGCCACGCAGTGCCGAGCAAGCATGGTAGGGGCAGCCACTGGACCATGGAAAGCCAAATCCTCAACTCAATAGCAGTTACTCCAACAACTATGCTTTGCACAACACAATTCCAGCATTTTGGGATGGGGCAGATCGGCCCAGGAAAATTTGCGGTCATATATCTGCATATTATAGCCTTGTGCCAAAAACCAATGTTTTGAATTTGTTTTCCAGGCAATACGCCTACCTTGCTTCGTAGTGCGGGAACTCAGCAAGAGCGGACCTGGCATGGTGTGGACTGTTCGGCTAAGTGGCGCGCTGCAAAGGTCCCTTCGCTCACGCTCGGTGTGAACTGTCTTGCTGTATTTTAGTGCATTGCAAACCAAGATCTGTGAATTAGTGCTTTTATCCCTACCCGATCTGCGACGCGCGTCCCGTCTCAGGAGGATCTGGCCACCATTTACTCTGCCGATGGGCATGCCGGCCATGACCTCGGCCGTTGCGCAACCGAGCATTGTACGAATTCAAACGCCACGTCGTCTTGTAAGACTGCACCAGCATCTGCTGCTTGCCCCCTTGGGAGTACATGTCTGGACATGGCGAATTGGACCGGTTAGCTGTATCGATGTGGAGACTTCAAAAATCACGACGCCGCCTGCAGCGGAAGCGGAACTCCGTTGGCAAAGCTCTGCGAAGACTGCTAGTTTACAAGCGCAGCGCACTCCAACTGTTTGATGCTGTGGGTGGGTATGGGTCAAAATTGAACCAGGGGACGGTTTTAGTCCAGGGTTCCATTTTGGGTATTTATTTTTGACCCACAGCCATGTCAGCAATGGAAGCTGGAACTTACACCAAAAGCTACGGCGATTGATTTTGATTCCTTTGAAAACCTGGGAGTTTCCCTAACTTTCAATCTGGCCATGGGTCAAAACCGAAATTGTACCCCCAGTGAACATCCCAATCCCCACTAAAATAGGTTCTAAAATGGGTGGTGAATTCACCTACCAACCAAAATGGGATCCTATTGGTTTTGAACCATGGCCATCTAGTCATATCTAGTCTAGGTCTCCCAGTAGTGCTCTTTCTCACCTTTTTTTGGGGAGGGTTCCCCTACTAAAATAGACAAAACCGAAAAAAACAATTGGTACCCTTATTCTAACCTCTCTACTGGAGGACCAAGTAGTGATAGAGATCGTCCACTTTCGGGTCATTTGCGCAATTTCCGCCCTCGACTGAGGTGCGTCGGTGCCGCCGGTGCTTTTGGGGGAGCACCTGGGGATCACTACAGGACCGCGCCCGGCGCATGGGCGTTTGTTTCTGCTTTATATAAGGTACCATTTCGCGTGGTTTTAAAGGTAACCCAAAATGAAACACCACCACATATGATGTGTTGATTTATGTATTTATTTACTTATTTATGTAGGTGTTTATTTAAGTATGTATGTATGTATTTATTTCCCCAGATGGCTGAAAGCTATAGGGGTTCTAACTTCTAATAAAGAGGGGAAAGTGATTTGCGAGATTGACGGCTGGATGCTAAGGGGCATGCAGCTTGGGGCGCTGGTGCAGGTGCTGTTTGGGGGTCTTGGTGACAGCCAGGTGTGTTTTTGCGAGATTGACGGCAAGATTCTGGGGGGCATGCAGTTTGGGGATTCGTGCGCAGGTGCTGTTTTGGGATGCTGTTGTGGGGTGTTGCTTGAGGTGCTGTCTGGGGTCTATGCTGGTGTAATATTTTTATTCATTTATGTATTAACCAGGCTTCCGCCTGCTGCCGCCGACCCTCAGCGCATTAAGGGAAAAGTCACAAGGACCGGTCCTGAAACACGTCCGCAAACCCAGGGACCACTTATAAGATCTTCTACGACCACAAACAAGGATTAACGCAAAAGTCAGAAATATGGCAGCTAGTCCGTTAATTACCGCTTGGGCCGGCTTGCGCCCAAGTCACTTCGAGTTGGCCCGGGAGCAGTCGCCTCTCCCGGGGTCGCCCTGAAACTGGCCCTCCCGAAGTTGCCCTGGACCGGTCGCTGGCAGGGACCGGGACAGGCTGGTCCCAGTCTGGCGCGGTTTGACTCGACGTATTGGATTCTCTTGCAGAATAGATCCAGGGATCCTTTACTACCAGAAGGATTAACGGAAAAGTCAGACAGATGGCAGCAGATTACTTGTAGTCAGCCAAAACCGGTCTGGGACCTGTCCCGACACCGGTCCCAGGACCGGTCCCGGCACCAGTCCCAGGACCGGTCCTGGGACCAGTCCTGGACCGCTTTCAGGACTGAAGCCGGGCCTGGTGTGACCGCTGGTATCGGGTCACTTCAAACTGCTGTGGTGGCACCTCAAACCGCTCTCAGGCACCCGTGTTTCAGGACACTGGACAGGGTCCCAGGTCCCCAGTCACTCCCTGCGACCGGTTGAGGGGCACCGACGGCCTTGTTTCTAGGACCAGCTCAACGTGACTTGGGCACAAACCGGCCCGTGCGGTTATTGACGGAACCAGGGTCCCAGGACCAGTCCCAGGACCGGTCCCAGGACTGGTCCCAGGACTGGTCCCAGGACCGGTCCCGGGACGGGACCGGTCCTGAGAATCCATTTTCTGTGCGTTCGGGCGTGCCCCCCAGGGACTATCATTGATTCCAATCACTTCCAGTTGCATCCTAAGCCGGTCCCCTCTGCAGGAGGCTGGGACGGGAGGCAGAGGGTCGGCGGATTTATTCATTACTTTTTTTTGGGGGGGAAAAGGCACGCATGCGTAAACCAGCCCTGCATTTGTGAAGTCGGGGCTGGGCCTTGTAGACTCTGATCAATTTGATGGAGGCACTGAGGACCTGCTTCCCCCGTAAGGATTAGAATGATGACAAGTTACAAGACCGGACTCATATAGCAGCACGGACATTGCAGGACAGCTTGCCGTAGCCACGATCTGCATGCCGACGCCAGGCGCAGCAGCTTTCCTGTTGGCGAACGTGGCGCAAGAGGAGCTGACACGAGCCGCATTCCACACTGCGCCCCTTGTCCGTTCACGCATGGCGCACGCTAGGATTCCACATGGACGAACGAGGTGGGCGCAAGTTTTTTGGATGTTTGCGTGTCTCAAGTTGCTTTGCTCGCAAGACCCCCGCCTTTGCGCGAGCTCAGTGAGTCCCGCCTGTGCCAAGACAAGCTTAGGGACGAGGATCTAAAAATCAGCCCATGGCTTTTTCGGGGCTCTGCACGTCTCTCTGCCAAACAAAAAACCAGTGCTTGCCGTTCTCCGGGCTTCAAGCATTTTTGTTTGCAGCTTCCCGCCGGTGGCGAATCCAGTCTGGCATTGTGTGAGGCACTGGCAGATCTCATCCAGAAAGCCACCCATGAAGACAGGCCTGAGTGAGTCAGTTCTTCGACAAGGGGCTCAAGATAGGTTTGGAATTTGATGGGTGTGGTTTCTTGAAACATGGACATTCCTTGGTCAAGATCCAATGATTTTATATCGCCAACGGATGGAGAGTCGGCTCTCCACGATTCTCAACATGAGATCATGTGCGTCGCATCTTCAGCCAGCTTCCTTGTGAGTTTCTCCCATCGAACAGCAGCCCGTGGTGGCTTGTCTAGCGAAGCTGTTGTAGTGGTTCATTTTCTGGCAGCTGGCTTTTCCTCTTCTTGCTGGTCAAGTAGGGAATGTGGGAATGAACCCAGGGTTCCCCTTAGCGCAAACCGCCGGTCGGATGGTTTTCTTGGGGTTCCATTTCTCATTCCCTGCATCTCTCGCAGCAAGGCCTTTCGCGCTGGCAGATCTGGCGCCCTTGCCTGAGAGATCTGCTCTCCTGGCAGCCACAAGAAGGGGCCGGGCCCCGAAGAGGAGGGTCCTCTGAAGATGAGGGTTTTCTGGCGTCGTTAATCTGCAGGGGAGAAAAGTTTATGAAGGCTCCATTAGAAAGAGTTTCCACCACCAGAAGTGTCCCATGTATCGCGCATGCAAAGTTTGTCAATGTCCAGGTTATGGCTCATTTGGGAAAGACATTGAGGTCCGCTAATGATGTGGTTGGCTTGGTTGCTTTGCTTTATTGGGGCGCAAGCAAGCTCCACTTCTGCTTCCGGTCTGATGTCAACACGTGCTTGGCAGTATCAGGCAGGCCCAAGGAGCCAGTGGGGATCCCATAAAAGTTGCACCCTAACTTGACTGGCATTGTGCCACCCTTCCGCGCTGTCACGTTGATACCGACCTTGTTGCTTGTCGCCACAACCCGAAGCAACATCCATGGCCTTTTTCTTGAGTTTGTCACTCACCGCCCTGAGCTTTGGCTGCAAAAGGCAACGTAGTGACAAAGACCGCCCTAGTCGCGATGATGGAGCCAACGGCCCCTGTATTTGGGATCCAGCCCCAGCCTCACGTGCCAGTTCTGCCGGCAAAGGCACCTCAGGTGTCGAAGGCGTCGACGTCATCCGCACCAGCGAAGGCTGCGGCGGTGGTGACGCTCTTGGCACTCAAGCGCAGGGGCCGCACCTGCAGAAAGGCCGAGCCTCGGACTGAAAGGAAGGGCCAATTGGCTTCAGGCAAGGGCTCTACCTGAAGTTGCATCTTGCATCTTTCGAGTTTGGTCAAGGTTGCCTCCATCTCTACCATTGAAAGGAAGGAGGATTTGCATGGCATGGAATGGAATGGGATTTGCATGGAATGGAATGGAATGGAATGGAATGGAATGGAATGGTTGGAATGGGATTTGCATGGAATGGAATGAAATGGAATGGAATGGATGAATATTGCTTCAGGCAATAGGTTTGAGGATTTGCATAGCATGGGAATCTACCCAGGCCATAGCGCCGGTGGTGGCTGCTGCTGCGGCTGCAGCAAAGGTGGCCGCCGCAGGGAAGTTAGCGGCCGCCGGGGCCGGGGCGGCCGGCGTGGCGGCCGGCATCCAGAAGTTGGGCAAGACCCGGCCGGAGCAGCACAAAAGCGGCAAGCGCCCGAAGCTCTGCTGCTGTTGGGTTGGATCTTTAGACTTCAGCTTTTTGGATTCCCCTCATATTTCCCTTTAACCAGCAAAAAGTTGAACTTTTTGCTGGGGGATTTACAGCACCCAAGGAAGATGGTGGTGCTCGGCACCGGCTGGGGATCCGTCACCTTCCTGCAGGGCTTGTCAGAAGATGTCATGAACTACTACGACATCACGGTGGCCTTTCGGCGGCCAAATGTGGAGAGTGTTCGCAAAGATATTTTGCACTGCGAGCGTTTCACCCGGTGCTTTGCGTTGCCTCTGAGGTGTCGCCCCGCAACTTCTTCTTGCGCCTTGGTCGCGGATTATTTGGTGTTCCTGGCTGACTGGCACTTTTCTGGCGAGTAGTTGGAAGATAGACTATACCTCAAACTAACCATCAAAAACCCTCATAATATTAAGACAATGCGCCGTTTTTCGTTGCATGTTTGAGGCAATGCGCCATTTCCAGCGGTATTTTGGGGGCAACACACCATGGTTCGCGGCATTTAGCCGGGGGTCCAGGTACCCCCGGCTCGGTTCTTCGGTTCGGTCCGAGGTACACGCCCTTGCTGCCGGCCAGCACCATGGGCTCCATCGAGGAGCGATCCATCGTGACGCCCATCCGCCGGGTGATCAAAGGAAAGGCACGGAGAAATGGCCGTGTTTCTAGAAAACCACCAAACACCTTGGGGAAATGCCTGGTTTTTGAAAAGAACGATGGCTGAAAAGAATGGACAAGGAATCAACCCCTAGACATTTGGCAGTGGTTGTCAAAAATCGGAATCCCCCAAGATGGCTTGCCCTGGGAATAGAAACATGGACTAAAACCTGCGGTCCATATCCTGGTGGTTTAATTTTGACCTACACCCACATGTTTGAAATGATGTGACTGGAGGTTGCGAGATGTTCTTCATGCTGAAGATGGTTCTTTTTGTTTTATCCATGGTCCGAAATATGTTCAGTTTGAAGATGTTTGGTTCCCTGGTCCAGAATATTTTCAGTTGGTGAATTATACTAGTTGGCGGTTTTTGTTTGAACTGGATGCGATAGAGGGAACGAAAAAGTCGGCCTGACGAGCCCGGTGCTTTTCTTTGTAAGCCTTGTCCGAATTGCTACTGGTGCAAGCTGGGAGCGCCCGGCGAAAGCTTGCGCAGGCGGATTTTCTGGAAGCGAGGTGCGAGGAGATCGACGTGAAGAACAAAGTCGTCAAGCATGGCGCTCGGATGTGGCAGCCACCAACATGTCTTACTCGGATCTAAATTCACACCTTTACTGGTCCTCAAAAGATTGTAGCTGAATGCATGGCATGCAGCGCAGTACACCATGTTAGCGCATCTCGTGCTTGCTATCGCTTTTGTTTTTGGTTCTTGTTTTGAGATCACCGCTGCAAGCAACTTCCCTCCGTATTGGTGGTTTGGATGGGGGCTTTGGAAGCTTGGGAGCGGTGTCCCGAACCCTGGTTCTTCCCCCCAAACCACTCTATCCGGTTATCCTTCCATTTGCTTAAGAATATTCCTCTTTAAAAAAACAGTTTCCCCTTGTTGGTTTTAAAAGGAGTTTATCGCTACTGACATATTTTTTCCCAATTCTTTCCAGGGGTCTTAACCAAATGGAAGTAACCTGATTCAAGGTGCACTCGAGCTGGAACACCCCGTCAATCTGCGGACGTCGACTACGAGCACTTTCCCGAGGTGCCTTCCGTTGGACGCCATGATGGCTTTGTGCCCAAAGGGTTTCTCCGTAGCACGGCCCCCAAAGGGTTTCTAAAAACACAGCTCCAGATGGAGGCTGCTTGCAAAATGGTAGATCCATAGGTTGCCTTTTGGCCAAATAGATGGCCCTGGTAAATGGAATAAAGCCATTCCAAATCAGAGCCATCTATTTCTCTATCCAAACTAAAGTAACATGGCCACCTATGGGTGGAGCCCTTTGGATATTTATAAGTCACCCTGGAAACCACCCATTTATGTTGGAAACGACATCCATGTCTTCTGATTTGCCCAAGGCCCCATGTCACTTTGTCTGCCGCTTTCGTTCTCGGCGCTCCAGGAAGATGTGCAGGGCAAGATGGCCTTCAACATCGACTATGACTGAGCATGCATGCTGCATGAGAGCAGAGCACTCTGCAATATCTTGCAAGATGTGCTGGGCCTCAGAGTTTTGCTAGCTGTGATGTGTGTGTGTGTGTGTGTGCGCGTGTGTTTCCAAAATTCAAGCAGTGTCGGTGTCCGGCAGTTTGCATGGAGAGGACGTGCTGATCTATGGCATTGGTGCGCAGACCAATGACTTCAAGACCCCTGGAGTTCAGGAACACGCATTTTTCTTCAAGGAGCTGACTGACGCGCGCAAGGCAGCGAGTTGTGGCTTGTCACAGTCCCATCAAGGCGAGAAGCAAGGCCCATGCGCTGCCTTTGCCTTGGAGTTGCACATGAACACGCAAAGAGTCAACGCCAGCCTGATCAGATTTGGTTGAGGATCTCATGAGGCGCAACGAAGCCATCGGTTTCAAGCTGAAAGGCAGGCCGTGGCCCTGGCAGGTCAGAGACAAGGTCACCGACTTGTTCGAGAGGCAGGGCGCTGGCGCCGTTCTCAACTGGCGATCACAAGGTGGCATGATGACCAAGCAGCTGTGGGTCAAAACCAAGGGGATCCCATTTTGGGGTAATTAGGTGCACCACCCATTTTAGAACCTATTTTAGTGGGGATTGGGATGTCCACTGGGGGTACGATTTGAATTTTGACCCATGGCCAACTGACACATCAAGAGTCCTCGCAGCTGGGCACAGTGCCATGACTTTGTGGCATTGATTTGGGCATTTCCCAAAACACTGGGAGTTTTCAACATGGGTCTTTCCTTTGGTCCCCGTGAAAGCCCGTCAACGATGGGCCCTGATTTGGGAAACACCCATTTCTTCAAGAGAAAACACATGTGGGAATGTCTTCAGGAGAAAAACACAAAGCCAGGGGGACAGCAAAACAATTTTCCCATTTCGCATCCTCTTGAAAGGTCTCCACTTCCTTCCCAGTGCTTTGTTTATATGTGAGTGCTATCTTTTCCTTCATTCATCTGTCCCATTTAATCATTGTGCGGGGTGTCATTTTCTTCGCCGCGAGTTGTTGCCAGGGCATCGCTGCCCAGCTCCACCGACGCGCAGAAAGAGAGGTGACTCGGCCAGCGAGGTCGCGACTCTCAACATCGGAATCGGAGCCCCGGAAAGCGGTTGAAAATCTTTGGGTGTCCCGCGCCAAATCGGTGCCGGTGCCCTCGAAAACGCGGCGCCGGGCCAAATCGTGCAGTGAGGCGGGCGTGTAAAACACAAAGGCAGAAGGCGGAGCCTCTGAAGCTTCCCACAAGAAGGGAAACCCTCAATTTTGTACATGTGAGCCATGTCCTCAAAACTGGGAAGGTCACTGGGTCAGATGATGTTCAGTGCTTGAAACACGGCAAATCTTGGCGCCAGGTGGCTGAGCTTCGTGCGACTTGGCAGGACTTTCTCAAACCCAACGGTGGATTTTTATTGGCTTCCAATTGCTTAAGAATATATTTATTTTCCCTTGTTGGTTTTAAAAGGAATTTATCACTACTGGATTTGTCTTCTTCTTTTAACAAAATAATAGTAAAATAAATACACATATTTTTCCCAGGGGTCTTAACCAAATGGAAGTTGGTTTTCCTTCAAACCAACGTCTCCCAAAAGCCCACCCACCAAGCCAGAGCTGGGCCTGATCGGTTCAGGCCCAAAAAAGACATAGGGAAAGCAAGGCAGCCACATGGCTCAACGTAAAGTTCTCACGGCCACTCAGAGCGAGGCTTGGCAAGAAT